CATGTTACAGACACATAGGATCCTCAATCTCTTACTCAAATAAAGAACTTTTTTTTTCTTTAGTAAAAGTCAAGTTAGAAACCCAAGAAATACCTGAAAAGACAAAATGTTGCACCAAGAATTAAAACCTTTTTAAATAAAGGAGTAGGGGGAAATAAACTGTAACTTATAATAGAGAAGTCTAACCTCAAACTTAAATGGATTTCTCTAAGTGTTTTTATAATGCCTGACTAGAATTCAAAGACTGAATGCACTGAACTACTAGCACTCTCTATACCCTTGGCTAAAAAGCTTTCCTAAGACAGTCTTTCAAATGAGACTTAAGGCATTACCAGTGAACAATAATTTTAGCTGGAATAATGTATATAGGGAAATAATTTTAAAGCTAGAAATCTGACAGGTGGAAAGATGTGTTTTTATCACGATAGAAATAATCCTTTTGCATTACTAATACTTAAGACCAATTTAAACATAAGTAATACTGAATGGCCTTAAGCTATTATTTATTCTTTCATTTTTTTTCTGAAGTTAGGACCTAATTCATAATAAATGATAACAGCCAACACCTAGTGAGGGACAGGCACTTCTTTTTTTTTTTAAGATTTTATTTATTTATCTGAGAGAGAGAGAGAGAGAATGAGAGAGCGTTAGAGGGAGAAGCAGACTCCCTGCCGAGCAGGGAGCCTGATGTAGGACTCGATCCTGGGACTCTAGGATCATGACCTGAGCCGAAGGCAGTCGCTTAACCAACTGAGCCATGCAGGCGCCTGAGGGCTAGGCACCTCTAGAAACCTTACACATATTCTCTTATTTAGCTGTCATGATAATCATATCAAGTAGGTTCTTTGATTAGTCCCCTTTTACAGAAATATAAACTGAAGTTCAGAGGAGTTAAGTAATGTTTTATGTCATTCAGTTATTAAGTAGTACCTTCAGGAGTCTGAACCCACAGAGTTTGTCTTTGGAACCTGTATCTTAACCACTTTGTCATATTGCCTTTTAAAAAAGGCCCAAACACTTTGTTGGATGTTCATTTTATTTATTCAACAAATATCTGGGGCGCCTGGGTGGCTCAGATGGTTGGGTGTCTGCCTTGGGCTCGGGGTATGATCTCCAGGTCCTGGGATGGGATCAAGCCTGCAGGGAGCCTGCTTCCCCCTCTCCGATTGCCTCTCTCCCCTGCTTGCACTCTCTCTGTCTCTCTCTCTCTCTCAAATGAATAAATAAAATCTTTTAAAAAGTATCTGTTTTGGGCCAGGCACTCTTTGAGATGCTAGGGATATAGCAGTGAAAACAACATGGATACAAAAAAAATAAATAAATAAAACATGGATACAATTGCCTACTCTCATGGAGCTTACACTTTATAGGACAAAACAAAAAGATAAATAAGTAAAATACTGGCAAGACAGCTGGCCATAAGTGCTAAATAAAAAACGAAGTCACCATTGGCAGATCAAGAAGATATGAGCAGGATAGGAAAAATTTTTAAATAAGGTTTATATAATATTGCCACCTAGACAGAAGAAAGAATAGTCTTTGTGAAGATAAAATTGTCCCTTGAAAATGTAATGTTGACCAAATATTCTTTGGTAAATCTGACCATCTGTGATTATGCCCTTTGCAAAAATTCTGTTGTTTCTCCTGTTAAGTACTTGCCTAGGTTCTTCATCAGTCGAAATGCAAGGTAAAAATAATCCTTAGCAATTTCACATTTGTAATTATCTGGATTACTGTTAAGCCCCATGTCCTGTAGTGTTTAAAGACAACATTAATTTGCCCCCAACACATTGTTATCACTATAGTGAATATGTTCTCATCTAGAGACACTACAGATTTTGTAAGAAATCTCCCTTTGGTTCCTCATCGCAAAGCCCTCCAGGGAGGTGACTAAATTCTCCTGTCCACAATGTGCAATAGCCCTTAAAGAAAAGACAAAGGAAAAAATGATGTAAGAGTCCTCCTCGGGGACTGAGATTTCTCTCCCCTAGCTTTTTTTTCTCAATGAGGAAGAAAGCAAGAATACTTAGAATCGACCAGAAAAGGGACCAAGATGCTGTATTCTGACTAAGGGTGCAGCTGCTTTTGCTTAAAGCATAAAATGGAGAAGCCACATCATTGCTGTTGGTTTTTCATTGACAAATTTGCCAGGAGGTGTATCCAGGAGCCTTTCTCTCCAAGACACGCACCTCAGTTCCTCTACTCCAGTTCCGCCCATAACTGTGATGGCAAACACTTTCCAAAGTGAGCTCCTTTTACACCTAGAGGGAAAGGAATCTGTCCCCAGTACCCTACCCAAGGGAAATCTTGTTCTACTATTAGATGATCTATAGGGAGAAGTTTATTTGAATAGGCATACAATATTTGTAGGTGGAAAACTGGTCTTGCTGTGCTGTTTTTACTGTTTTTGAAAAAGGATCATACTAGGAAATGTACATCTTTCAGACAAATTCTAAAAATCTCTGAGATTTTGTGTTAACAAAAAAGTTCTAAGATAAAATTCTATGTAGCATATATAGGACTATTTGGACATTTACCAACATGTTAACAAGAGGGTCTCTGTGTGATTAATTTATGATTTTTATTATATTTTCTTTTTAATATATTTTTCTTAGGATACAATACTTTCATCATCAGAAAAGGGAATGTTACATATTTTTTAAATCTGTTTTCACAGGAAGCTTCAACTGTATTTGTAACATTTTTTATATTTTTAAAATGAGACAAATGTCAAAACCCTAAGGTCTGATAAGGAAGTTAGTCTATATCCTCTATATGTTTGTCATATTTTACAATAAATTTTAGTTTTCTCAGTCTTGGAGAACAGAAGACATTGAAAACATTATGAAAATATTAAGTTTCTCTCCCTTGACTATCCATATAAAGGTAAGGTGAATTCAGATCCAAATATGACTTCTAAAGTTCACAATTTTTTCCTTTAAGAAAAATCTACCAAATAAACTTGAGGTAGCATACTAAACATAGCACAAATGATAGTATAGAAATGATCTTGCTTTTTTTTCCCCCCAGGAAAACCTGTTTACTGACCTCCCAGTGTTACAAAGAGGGAAAGCTGGGGTATCCCTGGTGTTTTTTCCTGGCAGGAAAATGTTAGCATTTTAACAATTGGCAAGATGAAGGTTTTGACTCTGAAAAAAAACCTTAAAGGCCCAGCCATTGTAGTTTCATTTCACATTACACTGAGTTTCTTGTATCATTTTTGTTTTTTTGTGAATTATTGGTTGTTTTCCCCCTGAAGTGAAAATATTCCATATACGTATGTTTGGATTATCTTTCTGGGAGGTTTATTTTGTTTTAGGAAAAAAAAAATGAGAAAAAAAAAGATTCGAGACATTATGCCTTAGGGATATGGAAGCCAAAAATGTAACATGTTAATTACCAGTACTATTTAAGGAAATATTTTCTTTAATTTGATTTATCCCATCCATAGAATTGGGTTCTCTAAATAGTTAATGATTTTCATTTTAAAATGATTCCTTTTTTAAAAGAATAGTTTGTCTCTGGTTGGGTCTGAGTACCAACCATCATGATGTCAGGGTAAACATGATATTCAAAAGGCACTATTCCTAATCTTTTACTCTCTTCTTTTGACATTTTGAAGGACTGTCCAAAAATCTTGGCCCAAGCAATTGTGAAGCCTAAAAGAAATTTCCAAGAATTCTTCCCAAGGCTTTGGAGAGGACAGAAAAATCTTGGGCAAGAAGTCATTGCTGGTGAATGGGGTCTTAGGTGACAAAGCCCCTGGAAGAGACCTCCTCGGAGATTTTATTGAGAAATGAGGAGGAACCAGTTTACAAAAGCAAAGAGGAGATCAAGACTAGAGAGGTGACCAGTTCAAGATATCTTCCCCAGAAAATCTGACTTTGGAGGGGAGGGAGAAAGGCGAAGTCATAGATACAAAGTCGGAAGAAAGACCGGAAGTCTTTTTTGGGGGTCTTTATGAAAAAGTGAGTGTGTGTGTTCTTTCTGTTTTATAGTTCAGATTTAAGGAGAATTTATTTAGTTTTATTTATCTTAATATACACAATGAAGCAAATAAAGCTGCCTCTCATCCTGCAGTGGCCGGACTGTGCTCTTAGACATCCCCACCCCTTATGCCCCATACTTTGGGGGTGTCTCTGCAGGCGACCCCAACAACATTCCTGGAGCTGGCGTTAGGACCTTGGCTGCAAAGCTGGAAGCCTGGGGACTCAGCTGAGCTCCTTCCCTACCCCGCCCCTACTCACTGGCGTTCATTAACAGGTGGAATCCCACCCCAGGCGCCTGAAATCCCGCCTGCCTCCATAGAAACAAATCCTTCAGACCCAGAGCACCATCTGGGCGGGCTCCGTGGCCTGGTGTTCGATGCGCCCTGCCGGGAGGTCAGCACCACAAGGAGCCGGGGCACCCGAGGGACTCACTGGCGAGAGCGCAGCACGTGTCTCTACCCCTCTAAATACACACACACACACACACACACACACACACACACACACACACACACACACACCTTCCCCTTTGTGCACCCAGCCGCTCAGTCCCCTCTCGAGCCGGGGCCCCCGAGGGGCGCAGTGGCGAGAGTGCAGCACGTGTCTCTAACCCCTTACACTCTCTCTCTCTCTCTCTCTCTCTCTCTCTCTCTCTCTCTCTCTCTCTCCACTTTGTGCACCCAGCCGCTCAGTCCCGGCTCGGTCCACTCCCCGCCCGGCCTCAGCTCCTACCAGGCCTTAAGGCATGTCGACCATTTGGAGTAAAGCTGGCTCAGCCAGGAAAGAGAGGAAGCGGCAACCAGCGCCCATCCTGGCTAACCCAAAACTTCTTGGGTGCCTAATTCTGGAAGGAGGAACCAACAGTTCCAGTCCCGAGAGAGGAGGTGCCTGGCAACCAGGAGACCTCACCCAGGAGTTCCAATCCCCGCGGGGCTGTCATCCCTGCCCCCAGCCTCTGATGCCCCTTCGGAGGCACAAGCCCCAAGATCCCCAGCCCTGGGGGCGCGTTACCTGTTGGCTGCGAGCCGAGACGCGATGTAGCCGCCCGGAATCTGGGTGATGATGTAGCCCCAAAAGAAGGAACCGTGGATCATCCCCACGGTTTCCGGGTCCCAGTTGAATTTGGCTTTCTACGGGGGTAGGGGGACAGAACGGGGTGGAGGGAAAGAGTAGAGTCAGTGCTTGGGCTGCAGACTCATGTTCAGGAGCCCCCAACCCCCGGGGTACTCCCTGCATTCTGGAGGTGGAGGTGGCTGAATTTTCGTTTGCTAACAAAATTCAATGTATACCTTCTTCTAGAGAAGAAATGCTTCTTTTAACGGAAAAAAACTGTGCTCATTTGAAATGTATTGCAATTAATGGCGAAGCTGGACACCCTGGCTTTGCTCCCCGACTACTGTCAGGCAGGTCTGATCCCCTCCATGAATGAGGAGTCCTCTGAGCTCCAGTATTGGAAATTAGAACTCTCCACGGAGAGATTCCATTTCCTGGCTGGGGATAGGGACCCCTGGCCGGGACTAATGCAGTAGTGGGGTCGCTTCCAGAATGAAATCCAACCAGGGAAATTCTGATGAAAGAAAGTGGGGCACCTGGATGGAAGGTGAGGAGGTCGGAGGAGCCAGAGGAAAGGATCTTCCCGGCAAAATGGGGATGGGCGTAGGCCGGAAAGATTTGGAGTAGCCTGGGGAATTAGTGGTGGTTGAGGGTGGCCAGTGGAGAGGAGAATTTGTTCCGGGGTAGTCCTAAAAGCTGGCGAGGGGTGTGTCTGAAGGTCAAGGCCTAGCTCCGCCCTAGCCAGCCTGGGCGGACCCACAGGGTGAACCTTAAAGTAAAAATCTGCATCTGAAAGGCAAAGGAGCGCTAATCCGGCCTGGGCAACTGAGGATCCTTTTTCTCCTTTTGAATAGTATTTTGAAACCAAACGCACTTTGCAGGGTGTCCCGGAATCCCCAGGGCCCAGCGGCGTTCACCGCTTCTCATCCACAGCCGATTCCCGAATTTTCTCCTCCCAACCCTTGCTTATGATTGCTCAGATCCCTGAACAGGAAGTCGAGACCCAGGGGTTTCGGTGACTTTGACGTTGACCCTCCTTTCCCTAGGCGTCACCCCAACACATTCAGGAGATTACGGGACTGGATTCCCTGTGACCTCGAGGCACTCGGCGCGGCGGCTCTTCTCTCGGCCAGTTAGGTGGACAGCTCCTAAAGGCCCTTCGGTGGAAACTGTCGATATGCTCACAGTTCATTTGATTTCGGTTTTGTTTCATTTTTATTTTTAAGAATGTTTGGCAGGAATTGGAGGAAACCAGGGGGACATTATCACTGATATGCAGCCCTACTCCTCCGAGGGAAAGAAAAATATTTCGATTTAAATTTAGGGGACATTATTATACAACTTCTCGTTTGAAGTCACTCCACAAAAATCTAGCGAGCTAAATGCTATTTTTCCACCTTGCAGGTGAGAAAAAGAAGGCCCAGAGAGCAGAATCGAAAAGGGAGGTCATACTGCTACCGCGGTCGATTCCTATTCTAGAACGGCAGTGCTAGCAGGGGGCTGAGCGAGCCGCCCGGCCTTCCTCACTCAGTGGGGAGGAAATGGAGCTCAAACAGGTGATGTGGCTTTGCGAACCCACATGGCAAGCAGCTGCCCACCTCCTTGATGACCTTGCCCCCGCGGTGGATGGTGCTGTTGTTGACCATGTCCACGATGGCCACGCCCAGGTTGCAACGGATGCCGAAGGAGATGCAGAAGCCCAGGCCGCTCATGATGGCGATGATGTAGCGACGCGGCAGGCCGAAGCAGGTGCAGTCGCACAGTGGAGCCTTCTTCTCTGGCACCTCCAGGGGTTTCCCATCCTCCGTCAGCTCGATGGTCTCCCCGGTGTCTTGCTTCTTCTCCAGCACCCTGCGCGGCAGAGTCGGGGGAAGGCAAGGACGCGGCGGGTTAGGCACCCCCGACGCCGGCCCATCCCAATCCCCAGGACCCGTCAGGGCTGGGGGGAGGGGCGCTGACACGCTCGACTCCTTCAGGAGTTAGGGTGCTAGGGCGCCACCAGGCTTCGGGACCTCCCCGGCTCTCCAGCCTCCTGCCAGTCCCCCTCCCTGCGGTAGCATCTCTTCAACTTTCATACCGTCTGGCCGGGGGCATCCAGCCCCCATTCCCTCGGGATCCAACCCGCAGCGCCTAGATTCACCGACACAAGCCGTTTGGGCTTAACTTTCTCGCGGGGTCTGTAGCTTGGGAGGGAATGGGATACCGGAGCGGCGCCTGGTCGGCACCTGTGTAGATGTCTCCTGCCCGCAGTGCTTTACCCCCGGCGAAAGGCGTCTTATCCAGCCACCCAGTCTCCTGGGGGCCGCCTCTGCTGGCCAGCCCAGCTCAGTCCTGCACCCGAGCTATCCTTTCCTTCCCAGCCAAGATGAAGCTTTCTGGGTTAAGGACGAGCGATCCCGCCCCCCAGCTGAGCCCGGGGACCCGAGGGAGTAAGGCCTCTCCTGACCGGTGCCCACGCGGAGGCCCGTGAGAGTCACGCGCGCATTCTATTGCCCATTCCTCCAGTCCCGGGGTGCTAGTTCCACGTTTACTCTCCTGTCACATATCTTACTTTCTTTTCCTTGTTATTCGAGTTTGAAACAAAGGCCTCCGCAGCATATGGCCGACACCTAAGCTTCCCACTGCCAGAACATGAATAATTAATTATTCACAATCTTGCGTCATTACTATCTCGGTTACAAACACCGAAAAATGTCATGGGCATATTTCCAAAGACGTAAAATGCGACTCCCAGATACACAAACGTGCCCCAAATCAACTCTGGTAAGATGTTCCCCACCAAAGTAGATCTCACATTTATGTTTTGTTTTGTGTTTTTTAATTTGCATTGTATTTCACAAGGTTTCATCCGTATAATTCAGTTCCTTTTAGGTTTTCGTCCTTGAGGGAAGAGGGGAGGGAGAAGGGGAAAGTAGGGTGATGGCATGGTTTTACTAAAAGCTGAGGGTGTTGTTCTAGTCCACAATATATCCGTGCAATGTCTATTTAAAAAAGAAAAGAATGAATGTGAACAGTAGAATCACCGTGGACTCTTGAGATGGATACTTTCGATATTTAAACAAAGAACCTCTCCATTTACAATTTGCAGATTTTTTAATCCACCATGTAGTTTATTTTTCTGTGTTCCCATTTAAATGATATATCCACACACAATTATTTTCATACACAGGAGTAAAGCAAATGAAATTTTAAGATCAATTCCAAGAATGCACAGGTTGGGAGCCAACTGCCAAGCAATTTGAGGCTACCAGAAAACAATGTTAGACTTCCAAATTCTACAAAATGTCACCTGGAGAATAAGTCATGAAGGTTTTTGCAACTATGTTAATTCTTATTTTTAAAGTCCAATCCCAATGTCAGAACACATGTCAAATTATTTATTCTGGGAGAAAAAAATGTAACTAATGTGAATTTTTTTTACATTGGCTTATAGCTGATATATGCAAAGTTGGACTATGCACCTGAACTCCCCACCTGATGGCAACTGAGCTGGGAAAGAACAGCTCTTTCCAGGGCAGCTGCGGGACTGCAGGGCCCTTGCGGTATCTACTGCCGCATAGGAGCATGATGGTGCCTACATGAAGCCCACCAGATCCAAAGAGATTTGGAAAATCAGCAAGTGCATTGGTCATTTTCTTTATATTTTCTATACATTTCTAAAGGCTTCAATTTCCCAAATGTGAAAATTAGCGCTCTCTTGGAATCATTTATCCTTCTGTTTCTGCCCTCTTTTCTTGATTTTGCTCATATTGTTAAGAAAAGTGTATTCATGTAATATGCTTGAAATGATTTAAAGTTGTAAAATTTTCAGCATAATTAGTACATTGACCACAGGTAAGATAACAAAATTAATCATTTCTAGTACTTTCAAAGTCATTTTGCTGGTTATTATTATGGTTTTTCTTATGAACACTGTGACATTTGCTATGCAAGAAATAGACTTCTGGGAGAAGTCAAATAATTAAAACACATATACATTGTTTTGGGTTCTGAGAGAGGAGCTGCTTTAGTTATTAATTATTGATATATTTTGATTCTTCTTCCTTCAGCACAGAAGGAAGATTCCACTGGGAGATTCTCTACTTGAGTGGTTTTGAGGCTGAGATCTAAATTTCCTTCTGCCATTACTCTTTGGAATTTCTTGGTTAATTTTTTGAGGGTTGTATTTTTTTAATTCATTTGTCTGAATCAAAGGAATTTAATTTGTGACTATAAGCACCAAAACAAAGATTCTCTGAACAGGTGCTGATCATTTCTCAATTATAAAGAGGATAAATCCTGGGTAGGAAAGGATGAGAATCTGCAGGTACTAAGACAAAAACCACACACACACATACACACAAAGCAGACAGGTTCATTTAGTGCAACATTCCTGAATTAATAAGCAGGTTTCCAGAGCAGCCCCGCTTGAGCAATGAGCAACAACAACAACAAAAAAAGACTTTCCGATCATATTACAATCTCCCAAAGCAACCAGGGTTTACAGAAATAGCCTTGTAGATTTTTTTCGTGCTCAGCCCCAGGCAAACATGGGTTTGCTTTCTCTTACCTGTAGATCTGGCCAAGGGATTTTCCAGCAAAATTCTTTAGCCCCTCTTTTCCTGGGGTCAAAATCCTTTGTTTTACCGACTCCATTCCTGCAAAGATTGGTGTTGGCTCTTGCCAGATTTAAATAGTGATCGCTATGAAAGGCGAGAGTTGCGCATATTGTCTTAATCGCTTAAGGTAGTTGTGGGCTTTTTCTTCTCAGCAGAACGGTATTGGTGTGCCTCCAGCAAGAGTGTGAGTGAGAGAAGGGAGGGAGTGAGAAAGAGAATACAACAGAATAGCTGCATGCAACCCACGGGTTTCCTAATAGGAGAGTTGGTAGACACAATCAGAAAGTCTCATTGGAAGGGGAGGATCCGGTGGCAAAGGGCGCATGCAGTGCCATGGTATTTGGGCGGGTGCAGATGAGTTCTTGTCCTGGAAGTCAGTCCACTGAAAAACAATGCAAATTCCCGGTTTTGAAAACCTTATTGCTGTCAAATCTTCTGGCTTTTAAACGGAGGAGCAGAAATATCACAGAACCTTTGTGTAAAAGCAAAGTCAGAAGAATAGTATGTTTTAAATGGTGTCTTTGCTGTAGGGAGCAGAGCACTTCCAAAACTCATGGGAGCATCTGAGGTCTCAGGTGAGCAATGCTGCTGTTAGTTTTTCCTCCTTGCCTATGATCTGCTTCCCTCATGCCGGCGCAACTCTGCTCTGCGGTAGTGTCGAATTAAGATGGAGAAAGCTTGCTGCTGTTTGAGGACGTGAGTAAATAACAGATGCACAGTCCTGATTTGGGCAGCGTCAGGAAAGATTTCTTCAGCGCGGCTGACAGCGCTCATTAGGGCGCGTCCTGGAAGAATTGTTCAGCACCACGGACAGAGTAAGTTTCCGGAAAACAGCTTCTTTTGGCTGGCCAGGTCGCCAACTTTCTAGGGGAGCTGGATGGATCACCCTGACCAAGAACCATTCTGGGCATCTTCAGGAATGGATGCTATGGAAACCAAGTGAAAATCTGTCATCATCGCCAGAGTTTGCAGAGAGAATGGTGCCTTTGACTCTTCAAGGGAGGAAGAATTTATTAAAAATTGACAAGTTACTTCTAGTTTCCTACATTTTTGCCCAGCACGCTACCTCCAGCTCTGATAGAGTTGCAGGGAAGGAAGCTTACAACATATTTCATTTATGTTTGTGGAATTCTGGGGGACTTGGTCTCCCTTGTATATAAAACATTTGTATACAGAATGCATAATTATATTGTTCATGAGTTTTGTTTTAATTTCTGATAAAAAGGAAGGAAGGAAGGTCGGAGGAAGAAAAGAAGGAAGGAAGGAGAGAGAGAGAGAGAAAGAAAGAAAAAGAAAGAAAGAAAAAGGAGGAAGGCAAGAAGGGAAGGAGGGAGGGGAGAGAAAGAGAAAGAAAAGATGAGCTGCAACCTCAGTGCCCTTGGTTAAATAAAACACAGCCAGTTTAATATAAATTCCTTAGAATTTTATGATTCTTTGCTTAACTGATTTACAGCACACTATGGAAATATCAATATACTGACAAAATTTGTGGCTATATCTTGTGCTTGTTAACAAATTATGAGTAATGATATTTTCAAGATTTATTTGAAATTGCTTATATTCCTTTAAAATGTGATTTTTTTTTTCTTTGTACCATCTTCCCCTAAAGCAGAATTCTGGAGAGACATTCATGTAAGACTTTTGTTGTCACATACATAGGTATAGCATCAATGAATCTATCTCATTAAGCAAAGCAAGAAAGCTACGCTAGCTTAATGTTAATTATTAATGCATTTAACATGAATCACAAACCTCTTAGATGCCATTCAACCAAGTGATTACAAAATTGACTGCCCTTGAGCCAAGGTCAAAATCTTTGGATTTTATTTAAGCCAACAGGGGGAGTAGATTTTTCTTAGGGTTTTTGGGACCAAATCTCTAAAGTATGGATCTAAATACAGAATCGTGTAAGAATGTTTCCTAAATAGGCCAAATAAAACAATGTATATGTATACAGTGAATGGATAGCCAAAAAAAGATAATCAAAAGTAGCTAAAACCATCTGCTATTATTAAATTATATTATATATCATTATGAATTATAATAAAACTAGAGGCATCTTTCTCTCATTTTGATAAATGTGTATTAAAATATATATCCCTATAAAACAATGAACCAGATTTTTCTAAAACTCTGGAATGTTTCAAAATAATATCCCCAAAGATGATCAAGTGTAAGAAGGAAACACACACACACACACACACACACACACACACACACACACACACACACTAATCTACCTCCTTCCAAATAAAACATTCAAGTTAATCAGGACTTTACTCATCTAGGGTGCTTTTCAAAATATTTGTTTCTCAATTCTTCAGTGACCAAATTCATTAGGTCAGATTCACTTAGGGATACCTATGACTTTGAAATTCTGGGAAGTTATGCAAAAAATAGAAGTTAGATAAATATCTGTGAAGCTAGGAGGATGATATAAAACTGATTCTCCTTAGCACTCCTGCTTACATTTCACCTTAAATAACTAGAGACCTAAACCACCATTAAACAGAATTGCTAACTTTGCACTACAGATTATCTCAGAGGGCACCAAGAAATACAAATCCAACATGAAAACATTGTTTCTATAGTAAAATAATTATATTCACCTTTATTGAAATTAATGTCATCTGACTCCTCCATTCTCTAGATAACAGAGCAAGTCCTTGAATCAGAATTATTGCTAATATTGATTTATTCATTCTAAAAATATTCATTTAGTGCCAAGAATTGCACTAGGTTCTGGGAATTTTCCCTGAAAGATCTCACAAGCTATGGGAAATAGACACATAAATACAATTACAAACAATTATGGATGCAACTGGACAAGCAAATAAGTAAATAACCCAGCCTGGAAGTAAAAATATACAGAAAAGATCCCAGGAAATGATGTTTCCTTGTCTGTCTTAATACTTGAAGAGAAACTTAGCTCTATGAAGGTGATGGCAGCCCAGTGGAATTGGGTAAGGAGGGGTGGTGATACTTGGAGAGCACCCCAGCCAGAGGGGATATCTTGAGCGAAGTCATAAACAAAGGAAAAATATTGTATATGGAAAATTACAAGAATTGTTACTAGGCCACCTGAGACCAAAGAATGCAATTTAGACTTTTCTTAAATTGATAGGCTCCCAATATAAGAGATATATACTTGGGCACTATGTACATACCCAACAGATTTTCTTCATGTGTGATCCTCAAATTCAAACACTGAACATGTACTTTTGCGACCTTAAGATCACCAGACTTATCTTTATGCAAAGAAATATTAGTGTGACACATATGGTATTAATCTGTTGAGATTACTCCCTTACTCTCTTACCTCCCTTAGCCCTTACACACTTTTCCATCCAACTTTAATAGTGCCTTCAATTGAATTATTAGACAAGTCTTCCTATTGAAGAATTGTCCCCTCTATCCAAGCACTCTTACAAATAAAAGGAAGTTTCATTGAATTTATTTAATGTGTGTAGCTTATTACAAATTATGAATGACTTTCATTTACATGATCACATTTATTCTTTATAATTATTCTTCATACCAAACTAATTTCATTCCCATTTTTTTGAGGAGAAAAATTAGATTTAATGAATTGCCTGAAGACATGCAAACAGTGATGAAGAAGGAGCATGAGGTAGAGTAGTTTGTCACAATTTAAGATCTTGTTAAAACACAGATTCTGATTCAAAAGGTCTAGAGTGGAGCCTAAAGTTCAGCAGTTTTAACAAATCTTCAGGACCACTTGTTCATAGATCACCCTTTGAATCTTGACAGCATTACAGTATGAAAGGTGAAATTGGCTGACCTGGCTTTGGGTCCTGATTCTGTTGGTTATCAACCTTGTAACTTTTAATCAATCATTTCACTTTAATGAACTTCAGTTCCTTCCTCGTGTAGATGACGGGTTATAGTCAGTGGTTTCTGTTACCCCTTCTACTTGTAAAATTTTGTGACTTTTTCATTAACTTATTCATTGATGTAAAACCACATTTGCTTTGCTTATTCCACCATGAGATTTTTCTATTATATTTGAGCTAAATGGTTAACAATGAACAGAGGAAAATGCCAATGATATGGGAGAAATATGCTTCTTCCTGAGTTGAATCTTCTTACATATTCAAAGAAGAATACATTTATTGCTTGTTTTACTATGAGTAGATATTGAGTTTTATATGCAATCATTTCAATAATTGTCTCTATAGTATTCTTTGAAATTTATAGAAGATATTACACAATAACAATGTGATGGGTTTGCATTTGTTTATACCCGCCTGTGAGGAATTACTTCTGAACGATCTTTTAAATGACTTGCAAATGTTGCCCTCTGGTGGAAAGATATACAATTATTTTAGAAGTAATTGTAGTCCTTAATTATGTAATTAAAACTACTGTTTCCTTCTTTTCTTTCAGTCTCTCTCTCTCTCTCTCCCCCTCATTCACTCCCTCTTTTTCCCTTTTTAGTACTTAATATCTACAACTAAAAATATGAAGTCCCTTTTGTGGACAATACACTTGAAATTGCCTGACCAAGTACTAAATGTCTTTAGAAGTAAGTTGATTGTCTAAGAACCAGTTAACCAAAGAGTTATTATAAGGAAATATAACTCTATTAAGATTTATAAATGATATGGTAATCAGACAGTAGGAAAATGGGTTAAAGTTTCTAATCTCAATGGAATAAATTATGATAATTTTATAAATATTTTGAAATAGTAATGTAAGTTTGATAAGTTTTCTTCTCCATTACCAAAAAATATATTTAAAGGCATCATATTTAATGCTATTCACAAATCTTTGCTGGAGCATTTTTTTAAGGCAAATTTATTTCAAAAAATTCTTCAAGTTGTCTAATTCCAAGGCTATTTTAAATGCAACATTTTCTGTTGTTTTTTCAACAAATACTCAACAGATAATTTGCACATGTAGTGGGCTAGGCCCTTTTCTGGAATATAGTAAACCAATGAACTTAGGACAGTATCATAGCTTGTTATAATAGATGTAGGGAGTGTATATTCTTGAAGAAAAAGTGCTTTGAAAAGC